TGCGTTGAATAATATGAAGCATGCACTAAAAAAATGGTGTAGAAACTATTTTTGCTCAGAAACGGCTAGTAAGTTTCACAATTAATTAAAGAAACGGCAAGTAACACATTGAATTAAACCTGACATTTTTAAGTAAAAAACCTGAAATAGTATTTTCTTGCAAAACCTACTCCAATAATGTTTTAAAGTTTTATTTACAACATTTTATTTGCAGTGTATTTGTCAAAATACTGGAGTAGTTTATCAACTATTTTATTTATTTTTTTATTTAAATAATATTCTCAAAAGGCATTTATTCAAATTGCTTAGAATCAGCAAATTTCCTACTGTAAATATATCAAAACTAATTTTTGTTTATTAATATGCATTGCTAAGGACTTCATTTAGACAGTTTTAAAGGTGATTTTCAAAAAATTATTTTATTTTTTTTGCACCCTCAGATTCCAGATTTTTTTTTTTATAGTTGTATCTCAGACAAATATTGTCTTATCCTAATAAACCATACATCAATGGAACGATTATTTATTCAGCTTTCAAATGATGTATAAATATCAATTAAAAAAAATTGACCCTTATGACTGGTTTTGTGGTCGAGTCGCAAATAACTAATGATTACATTGTAAGTCTGGAGCTTCAGGTCTAGTCATAGTTTTTTTATTCTTGCTGTTTGGATCTAAACGTCAAACACTTGATTTCAGTACATGAACGGGCCGCCGCTGGGAGAGGAGCAGCCACCGTTACCTAAAGATTACCTGGTTGAGTCTCTGCTGGTGACCATCTTCTGCTGCCTCATGAGCGGCCTCGTCGCTGTCATGTACTCGTATGAAGTGAGCACCTGAAACACAGCGCATTAGTACAAATACACGTGCATACAAATATTAGAGTGACACTGATTAATGATGACCTCTGACCTCTCTACAGACCCGCGCTGCGCTGACCAGGGGTGACATCCGTGAAGCGGAGAAAACGTCCCAGAAGGCTCGTCTGCTTGTCATGTTCAGTTTGATGTTCGGCATATTTGTTTTTGTGGGCTGGATTATTTATGTAGTGATAGTGCTCTGTGCATAGAATCTTTCTTATGCTATCCAAGGCTGCATTTATTTGATCAAAAAATTCTGTAAAAACTTAAAGTTTAAAGTAACTGTTTTCAATTTGAATATATTGTCAAATGTAATTTATTTCTGTGATGCGCAGCTGAATATTAAGCATCATTACTCCAGTCTTCAGTGTCACATGATCTTCAGAAATCATTCTAATAGGCTGATTTGCTGCTCAAAAAACATTTCTGATTATTATTCATGTTGAAAACAGTTGTGCTGTTTTCCAATATTTTTGTGGAAACTGTGATACATTTTATGATACTTTTGATGAATAGAAAGTTGAAAAGAACAGCATTTATTTGAAATAGAAATCTTTCAACATTATAAATGTCTTTACTGTCACTTTTGATCAATTTAATGCATCCCTGCTAAATAAAATGATTAATTTCTGTCAAAAAATTTACTCTTACTCACCCCAGTAACACTCCAAAGAGAAAGGAAAAATTGAAATCACATCATATGACCCCTTTAAACGGTAGTGCAATTGCTGGGAAGAAACTAATTTTAATTTTTTTATTGCACTGAAATGTTGTTTGAAGGTGCACCATCACTTCTTTTTCTTAACTATTATTTTAAAATGCGGTAAATAGTACTAATAAAGTCATGAAACTCACACAAATGGATGTATGGGAAGTATACCAGTCGAAACGTCATTCAAACATTTGACTGTTTGTGTACAATATGCTGCCAGAACTGAAACTCCTGTATAGCAGTGAAAGTGACTCATATGAAAAGCACAAAGTGTGAGATTCAAACATTAATGTCTTACATTTTAAACAGGTTCGCCCCTGATTTTATTGCATCATGTTCTATGATATGTACTTTCAGAAGATAATCATCGATAGAGTTTGTATTTACATTTAATTACATTCATTTGTTCCTGGAATAGGAACTGAAAGGCCTTTTCCTGTCACTGGTAATAAACCTTGTATTTTTGTTGACTTAGTTACGTAAAAATTACCATCATCTATGACTGCGAACAAACTGAATTAAATATACAGTCTAAATGTTTATAAGAAGCACTATTGCGTGAAACCTAATGTATTTATGTTGCACTGAATAAAAAGTGCAACATAAATACATTTTGTAAATGCATAAATACATAAACCCATATTTATGTTGCACTGAATAAAAAGTAACCCAAAAACGACAACACTATTTATGTGTTTAAATGATCAGTGAAGACCTTGAAAACAATTTATAGCAATAAAATGGCTTTTATTACATTACTAAGCTTGATTCTCTCCACATGGCTTGGGGAGTCGCCATTAAATACAATGAAGAGCAAAAGAGAGCTGGAAAACAAGAAATGACCAACAGAGCTCGTCATAAACAAGAGCTTCCTCTCAGAAGAAAAGAAATGACCATGTTGGCTTAAATGGGTTCATTTCTTCATGAATTCATTTTGGCCATTATATATACATAATCCATAATGATTTACAATAAAATTAAAAGAATAAAAACAGAAGTAAAATAAAACATTAAATACTGTACACTGAACAAAATATCTAAATAAGGTTAAGCTGCACTTTGACACTAATAAAATAAATAAAGATGAAGTAAGCTATGAAGCCAAACTCTAAACCTAAAAAAGGTCTAAAATTAATTAAAAATAAATATATTAATAGGTGTCATACAATACAGGTTGTGCAGTGCAGTTCATTATGGCATAAATAAATCAAGTATGGTTTACATCAACACACATTGAGCAACCTTGGGTTTCAGAAATGATGTATAAATAAATACAATTGTATTAATGTTATTACAATTATGAAGTACATCAGTCAGAATAGTTGGAGAGGTGATGAAACTCATGCAGTGATCTATAGCTGCAGTGATCTCAAGTGCTTCTACCAAGAGCCGGACACAAAACAGATCAAAACACATTTAAATCAGTAGAGGAGACTAAAGTAATAGTTTAGGAAAAAATGAAAGTTTGCTAAAAACTTCTGAGATAAAGATGAGTTTGTTTCTTCATTAGATTTGGAGAAATGTAGCATTGCATCACTTGCTCACCAATGCATCCTCTGCAGTGAATGGGTGCCGTCAGAATGAGAGTCCAAACAGCTGATAAAAACATCACAATAATCCACAAGTAATCCACACCACTCCAGTCCATCAGCTTGTGAGGACAAAAGCTGCATGTTTGTAAGAAACAAATCCATCAAGACTTATTTTTGCTTAATAATAATAAAAAGTGGTCTGGTCTGAATCAGGAGAGAAATCTGCACAGATCAAGGACTGTTTACAAGCCAAGACAGTCCAAAACAGCTCTAATACACGGGTGGACTTTCATGCGAGAGATGGACTTTGTCAATGGAGGAAGCGTTATTATGGACTATATTAACTCATATTATGACAGGAAGAAATGATTTAAAGTTAAAAATTTCATGATGTATTCATTTCTTACAAACAGGCAGCTTTTGGCTTCACAAGATGTTAACTGATGGACTGGAGTGGTGTGGATTACTTGTGGATTATTGTGATGTTTTTATCAGCTGTTTGGACTCGCATTCTGACGGCACCCATTCACTGCAGAGCATCCATTGCTGAGACACTGATGCAATGCTACATTTCTCCAGATCTGATGAAGAAACACATCTATGAGTTTGATGAAGAAACTCATCTACATTTTGGATGGCCTGAGAGTGAGGAAATTATCTGCAAATCTTCATTTTTGGGTGAATTATTCCTTTAAAAGAACAATATAATGTGGCAACAGCACATTTCAGAACAATAATAGTTACAGTAAAACTCTTTAAATCATTTCAAAATGGGCCTTAAGATGGAGAAACTTCATATGATTGTCTAATTAAAGGAGATTTCAAAATAATTCTAACTTAAGTGGCACTTAAAGCAGAGCAACTGTAAATTTTCTGAGCATGAGCAGGTATTATTGCACTGTCAAGTTCCTCATGCAAGAAAAACAAGTTTTATGAAGACTTTAAGGCTGGAGATCAACATTCATATTCTGATCTCTATCACATGGTCACTCCACGGAATATTTTTAACAGTGGTGCTGTTGTAGACATTATTAGCTGTAGCTCATTACATTACATCTGTCCGCATGAGATGCAGTTAAGGACGTGTTTAATTTAGGCTTACGGAGGTCTGCTAGAAAACAAAGTTGCCAAACAGTGCAAATATGTTAGTGCTTAGATGGTGTAGATGACCTTTGTACATTAAACATTGAGCTTATATTTGTCATCAGCTTTCAGGACAAGCTGAATCAAAATTGTTAATTGTATACTGAAGGCAGGAAAGGACAGTTTGTAGTGAAGAAAACAGCTACATACATACATACATGTGCTCACAATGAGTGGATGTTTCAGGCATTTGTGAATGAATTATTAGTTCTGAGATTTGTTTTGCACTGGTGAGTATTTGTGTGATTTAATGATTTCAAAAAATTAGATGTTCTATGAATTATAATCCTGACTAATCCCATTATTTATTAATTTATAATGGTTTAAAGTTTAGTATTAAAAAGTGATGGATTTTAATATTTCCAAGCGATATCACTCCTCCAAAATAATTTTAAAAATGGCAGACTTGTCGGCGCCAATAGCCTAGTGGGCAGTGCGGGCGTCCCGAGTTCAAGTCCCGGTTTGTGGACCTTTCCCGATCCCGCCCCCCTCTCTCTCTCTTACATCACTTCCTGTCACTGCTATACTGTCCTATCAAAATAAAAATGCCAAAAAGAAATCTTGATCGTGATATCAATTTTGGCCATATCGTCCAGCCCTAATATATATATATATATATCTGTGTGTGTCTGCTGCTGCTGTTGTGTGGTTTGTGTTTGTACGATGGCACATTGTTTTCAGAGGGAAAACATTATAGAGACAGTATTTTGCGCGTCTGTCTCTCTCTGTGTGTGTGTGTGTGTGTGTGTGTGTGTGTGTGTGTGTGTGTGTGTGTGTGTGTGTGTTGTGTGTGTGTGTGTGTGTGTGTCTCGCCTCTTTAGCTCAACAGCTCCAGATATGTAACAGGCACATTCCCCTTCTGGTTTCCTCGCTCTCCAATCAGCCAATCAGAGTCCATTCCAGGCACTGTGTACACGGTGATGAGCTGATCGTCCAATCAGATAAGTGTAATTAATTAATTTGGAGTCTTTAGGATGCTTTTCAAGCAACCACATATAGCAAACATTCTAAATACTCAACAATATTCAAATGAAATGGCTTAAAAGCAATCATCAGTTCAACCTAACTTTCACTGTAGCCAAATATATTCAAAATGTTTAATCCAAGAACCAAAACACATTAAAAATCTGTGTTTGTGAATGTTTTCGTCACTGTTCGCCACTATATTTACAATGTTTAATTACACATTGCTAGCAAAATCATTGTCAATATACTTGAATATTCAAGGTATCACCCAATTTTACTGAATAGAAATTTAAACTAGCCAAAGTCAACTATAATGCTTTAAACCACCATGAAAAACCATTCACAATTCATTTAATTTTAACATTAAAGTGACATATGATGAACATTAAAATTAATGTGGTATTTTCAAGTGAAACAGAATATTCAGTGAGAAATAATTCATGGCGGGACTTCATTTTATTCATAACTTGAACGGATCAAGAAAAGTTGGCTATGATGAAGTAAATAGATGCTTATTATTGGAAAAAGGTAAAATATTCAACAATATTCAAATGAAAACGATCAATTCAACTAAACTGTCACTACAGCCAAATATATTTTAAAACATTTAATGCAAAACGCATTAAATCACATTTAAAAATACCATGGTATGTTTTCTTCATTATTTTTCACTATTTTCACAATAATTCATTTTTAATTGCCAGCAAAATCGTTGTAACTATACTTGAATATTCAAAACATCACCCATTTTTACAAAAAAAAATGAATAAAATAAATAAAATAAACTAGTCTAAATCAACTTATTATCCATTAAATAGTCATGAAAAACTCATTCAAATGTGATATTAAATGTGACATGATAAACATTAATTGTAATTAGAATTAATGTGTCATTTTCAAGTTAATTAATGACGGGGCTTAATTTTATTCATCACAATTTGATTGGATCCAAAAAAAAAAGCCTAAAATTAAGTAAATAATGGTTTTTATAGCAAACATTTTAAATATTCAGAAAAAAATTTCCAAAACGAATCCCTTCAACCAAACTGCCACTATAGCCAAATATATAAAAAATGTTTAATGCAAGAACCAAAACACATTAAAAATCTACTTAAAAATATCATGGTATGTTTTCCTCAATGTTCCTTACTATTTTCACAATGTTTAATTTCACATTACCAGCAAACTCATTGTAAATATAATTGAATATTCAATATATCACCCATTTCTACTCTAAAAAGTAAATAAATAAACTACCCAATATCAACTTATAATGCATTAAATCATCATGATAAACCTTTTTACAATTCCTTTCATTTTAACATAAATGTGACATATAATAAACAATAATTTTAATTTTAATTAATGTGGAGTTTTAAAGAGAAACAGAATATTCCATAAGAAATCATTGAGGATGGGGACTTAATTTTATCCATCACAATTTGATTGGATCATGAAATGTAGGCTCGGATATTATGCAATAATATATTTCACAGCCCCTAACACCCCTATTAGACCCATATCAGACCGTTTATCTTCCATCAAACATCTGCTCACCTCATCGGCCAGCAGCGAGAGCTCACTGGAGTCTGCAGCGTCATAGTCATACAGCACTTTGGCCTTGCGTGTGCCGCTGGCTGGCGGCTGAACTTCTTCAATCTGCAGAGCGTCTGTTTCCAGAGGAGACGCAGAGTTCAGCGGCAGGAAAGCAGACGGGTCCGTGGGGCTTCTGGCAGTGTGGGAATTCACATCCAAAGAGTCGGGGCATCTTCTGAAAGAGAGAAGGTTGATAGAGGACACTATAAGGGCTCTGCTGACTAGTGTGAACACTAACAAGACGACAAACTCAAAACTCACATGTCTCCACTGCAACTGTGAGCAGACGGGTGGGAAAAGTAAAACAGGTGTTTATAATAATGACTGTGATGTCATGATCTACAAATCAAATATTTAAAAGGAATAGTTCACTGAAAAATGAATATTTGCTGGGCATGTGCTCACTCTCAGGCCATCTGAGATGTAGCCGAGTTTGTTTCTTCATCAGATTTGGAGAAATGTAGCATTGCATCACTTGTTCACCAGTTGGATCCTCTGCAGTGAATGGGTGCCGTCAGAATGAGAGCCCAAACAGCTGATAAAAACATCACAATAATCCACACCGCTCCAGTCCATCAGTTAACATCTTGTGAAGCCAAAAACTGCGTGTTTGTAAGAAACAAATTCATCATTAAGACATTTTTAACTTCAAATCATTACTGCTGTCTAAAACACGAGTCCATAATCCATAACGCTTCCTTCGGTGAAAAAGTGTTCTGGTCTGAATCAGGAGAGAAATCTGCACAGATCAAGCACCGTTTACAAGCCAAAATAGCTCTAAACAAATATGTGGCTGAATTTTGATGTGAGAGGCAACGGGAGATGGACTTTTTCACTAAAGGAAGCCTTATTATGGATTATGGACTCAGAAGTTTTGAAGTTAAAAATGTCTTCATGATGCATTTGTGTCTTACAAACAGGCAGCTTTTGGCTTCACAAGATGTTAACTGATGGACTGGAGTGCTGTGGATTACTTGTGGATTATTGTGATGTTTTTATCAACTGTTTGGACTCTCATTCTGACGGCACCCATTCACTGCAGAGCATCCATTACTGAGCAAGTGATGGAATGCTGCATTTCTTCTCATCTACATCTTGGATTGCCTGAGAGCGAGTAAACTTCTCATCAAATTGTCATTTTTGGGTAAACTATTCCTTTACGGTGCACCAAGTCATATTTCCACTGTAAAGTTTTCCTCTTAAAGAAATCTTTAATTTAATAGTTAACACTTTACAATAAGGTTCTATTTGTTAACATTATTTAACTGTATTAGTTAACATGAACTAACAAAGAATAATACTTTTACAGTACATAATTTATTAATAGTTTGTTAATTTATTTAATTATTCTAGTTTAATTATTCTCATTATTCTAGTTTGTTAATTTCAACATTTACTTAATAAATTTTTCAAATCACAAGCTGTATCTGCAAACATTAGGTAATGCACTGTGAACTAACATGAATGAACAACCACTTTTATTGACAAAGATGAATAAATTTAAGAAATATTAAGAGTTTATTTGCAAAAACGGATAACTCTTCATATATTGCTCATGTTAGCTAATGCATTGACTATGAGACCTTACTGTAAAGTGTTACCATTTAATGTTATATTTTTATAAATGATTCAGTGAGCCAAATAGCATTTTGCACACATGAATGAAATCTGATGCATAGCCACCTGCCCAGCTCTCTCTGCAGCTCCAGCATGTACTTGTGACACTGGCTGTAATACATCGCCTGCGCTTCCACAAACTCACACAGGCAGAGCAGGTGATTCACCTGCGCAAACAGAAAAGACGTCCTGTCACTTTAAAACCCATAGCATTCTGTGCAAACACAGGTTGCACTTCATTTGTTTGCATGAGGATACTAGATATTTACGCAGTCTTTTGAACAATGATTTAACGATGTTTTGAAATGCTATTTTCTGAACTTCAAAGCATGCATATTGAAGGATTATTATGAAAGCCTTTAAGCCCATCCTGATAATGAGGTTTATCAGTTTGAAGTAGCTTGTATTCAAACATACACTTCTGCTCAGGTGTGTAGCGTGTTAATGCAGCATGCATGTAAAAACGACTCACGTGCGTGCTGCTGATGCCCTCCAGGAGGAGTCTGGTGACCTCAGCCTGTCCGTCAAACTCTGTCTGAGCAACACGCAATTCATGCTCCGCCTGCATATGACAGAGAAAACGAATCCAAAATTGACACCGGCATAAGATTCATCTGCATTTAGAGTTGCATGAACACTAGGACTCTCTTAAAGGGGTCATATGATGTTGCTAAAAAGAACATTATTTTGTGTATTTGGTGTAATGAAATGTGTTTAAGGTTAAAAAAACACATTATTTTCCACATACTGTACATTATTGTTTCTCCTCTATGCCCCGCCTTTCTGAAACGCGTCGATTTTTACAAAGCTCATCGGTCTGAAAAGCGAGGTGTGCTCTGATTGGCCAGCTATCCAGTGCGTTGTGGCCAGCTATCCAGTGCGGAAAGTAGCTTCGCTTTCACAATGAAACACACAGCGCCTTCACGACATGGCGGCGGC